GATCGAACCCTGAACCACGTGTAGCATAGTTGGTGAGCATTGGTCTACCGCCGAACCACCGACGCACAAAATATACATTGTATTAGTGAAATAAAGACGTGTAATTCTTTTTTTGTTCAACTCAAAAAAGGTTTAACAGTAGAATCACAGTTTTAAAGGAACAACAATGCGTGCAATGTGTTGATGGCATAATCGGTTAAGTGACACAAATACACACACACACACAAAAGAAAATGGTTATTTAACATAAGTTTAAAAGAATATTTAACACGTTTTGGTGGTTGACTTAACACCAAAGCTACTAGTTGATCAACAAACAACATGGAGAAGAAAAGATGATGTGATCTGAGGTCCATCAAGTGAGTCAAGGTCAATGGGTCAACTTTATGAGGTCATAATAGTAATGACAATTAAGATAGTAAAAATTAAGAAATAATAAACAAACAGACAAAATACCCAATTATGTGTAACAGGCAAACCAGCGGGCGCATAGGTAATGAAAACAGAACACGAACCGTGCAGGAGAGCGTTTATTCCACGAAATTGACTTTTAAAAAGTGCGGGAGTACAGTTTTAGGGTATAACAGTTTTACTGAGCTTCATTAATGTTTAGGCTGTGCAACTCCTGTATCTCCTGGTCCAGGTAGTTGACTCCCGAGTGTCTTCCTGCAAGTAAAGAAAATAAAACACTGATTAGTGCTATAATATTGTGGTGAGAGCAGGCTGCTAGCCAATTTGTAGACATTAATCTACGTCAATGTCTAGGTCACTAATATTGGCCGTGAGAAAATATAAACAAGGCTGATTCAACAACCAATCACAGCAGACTTAACGTGGGCAGATAAGATTTGTAGATAGATGGCTTAACTTTCCGAGAAACCCAAAACAACCAATCAGAAGACTGTGTTTGCCTGCTTAACTTTCCGAGAAACTCGAAACAACCAAGCAGAAGACTGTGTTTGTCTTCTTGAATAAGCTGTAATAATGTACATGAAATATATATAAATACGTGTTGATTTCCGTAATAAAAACGATCTGTTGCCGGCCCTTGCAATAAGTGGAAAAAATTGAAATCAAGTTAAACTGTTAATAATCATCATAGTTTCTTTCTGTTTTTATTTACACTCGTCTGGTTCCAGTTGCTTGATGGGAATAGATTCAGCTAATCAAAGTGTGATTTAACAGTGTGAAATATTCCCATATCACATACTGAATTAAGAGTCATTCTTAACGAAGAATATTCTTTTCAATGATATCTCCTCTTCAGATTCTTACCATAATAAAATATAATATTTGTCATCTTTATAATAATCTCCAGTTATGCGGGGATACATTTTTAACGTAGAATAATAGAATAGTTATGAGGTGACAAAATAAGTAGTATCTGCGTGACAAACCTGCCAGGCTTAATTCAACTACAAAATATTGTAAAATGGGAGATAATGATGGTGATTAATCATAATAGATTCGTAGAATATGAAGTAGGAAAAGCTGACAAGTCACTTCAAGGTTATAAATGGTGTAAGGTGAGTGGCTAGTACAAGGTGGTGTACATTTAAGGGAAGATTTTTTTCCTCCACGTTCCCAGTGGAACAAAGGGCCGCAAGCTAGTGTCTTGAAGTTTCTGTAGCAGTGCTTATTTTAACAGGATGGTGTTGTTAGCCTCATGCCCAACCTTTCCTCCATACCAGAATTATATCTGGCCTAATGAGGTAAAGGAGCGCGTCGTCGGTCGGGGATCGAACTCTGGACCATGTGCATGGTCGGCGAGCGTCCTAACCGTTGTTTAAAGGAAGATAGTAAGACCGCAATAAAAAGTTCATCATGAAATAATCAATATATGAAGTGAAATAGGTGGAGGCAAATGTTGAGAAAAGAGATAATATCACTAATAATAAGTCCGGATGGTATAAATGGGTGCGTCGGTGGCACAGCCGTTAGGTCACTCGCCGACTATGCACATGGTCCGGGGTTCGATCCTCTGCCACCGACACACTCCTTTACCTCGCTAAGCCAGAAATAATACTGGTAAAGAGAAAAAGTTGGGTATGAGGCTAGCCACCCCATCTTGTTAAAATAAGCACTACTACAGAAAATTCAAGCCATTAGCTTGAGGCCCTATGTTCCAATTGGGAACGCGAAGGAAAACGAATGGTATAAATGGAATATTCGATAGTATTGAGGGAATGTTTGTGTGAATGGTATAAATTATAACGAATAATAATCATTGTAATAATAATAAGCAAATCAAAAAAACCAAGAGGGATAGGCAGAAAGGGCACTCTTGGTGAGAAGACGAATCATTAATCCAAGTTTGGCCACGGTAGTAACAGCATCTGAACGTATTCATTTTGGGTACAAAGTTCCGGTTTTTAGTCGATCCTATTGCAATAACTTTAGCTATGTGTAGGAGACGTAAGCGAACTGCACGTGATAACGACTTCGGGATTTGGTATATAACCCTCAAGACTAGCACGTTTGTCACACAGATACTATTTATTTTGTCACCTCATAACTAATCTGTTATTCTACGTAAAAATGTATCCGCCGCATGACTGGAGATTATTGTAACGACGACAAATATTATTTTTCAAGAATTGGTATGCTGGGACGGAGTTTCCTGCTGTTCTAGTGATGAGTCGTGACCAGTGGGGTCCATCCAGTTGGGAGTGAGAATGCAGTTACCGCCGACGACATTTGTTGGTGGTTGCACTAAAACCACAAATTTGTAGAAATTAGAATTCATGGGCTGGCCATTGAGTAGTCGGGTCCCATTGGCTGAATGGTATACGAGCTTGCCTTGTAACCGGAAGGTCTTGAGTTCGAAACCCAACGGGTGCGTACTGCCGATGAGTCCCAAACTAGGACTACACTGCCGTCCTCTACTCCCTGCTGGTTTTCAATGGTTCTCTAATTGTAAGGACCTGAAGAGAAGAAATTATTGAAAAGAATATTGAACGAAATATTCCCATATTGAGCCGTAAGAAAAGGCATCAACAGCGAAGAAAATTTTCTTTTCGACGATTCATTTTCATGAGCTGTACAATCGTAATTATATTCAACAAAGAAATCGTTAGACCAATCAGATACTGGTAAACTTTGTCTTCGAAGAATGGGTTACGTAATGTAAGGTGAAACCTAGAAGGGATGACTAACTGTAGGTTAGAAAAGAGACAGAAGTCGGCATGACGTAATATGTGTGAGACAATGACTAATCAATAGGATTGTGGAAATGGACAGGAACTAGTGGAACGACGATAAAGTGTTTCTGCACAAAATCTGCATGAAAACGCAATGTTTTTAATTAACAGTAATAGAGTGGTAATAAAATATAGATGATGGGAATAATAATGATAATAAAATAATAATAAGAATAAACTTACATAATAAAAAGATGCAAAATTATAGTAAGAACTTTACTCTGGCCACGGTAGGGTAAGTGGATGTATGTAGCGCTTTTGAATGTAGAATTCCAGTTTCAGATCCTTAACAGCTAATGCTTCAGCATATTCGAAGCCCCTTTTTGAGATATTGAGGGACTCTGTGTAGCACTGTAAACATTGATGAGGAGATGCTCGATATCCGTATATGACAAGGTGTTCAGCTGCTCTTATTTTCTTCTCTGGCTAATTAAGCTGGACAATGTTCCAGAATAAGTTTGTGGACTTGACGTTGCCTACGGCCGACATACTTTGCTCCACACGAGCAGTTAAATTGATAAATATACATTGAATTGGCCAAAAGCTGTATCTTATCCTTAACGTTAGACTGGATTAGCTGTCTGCTGGAGAATGTAATACGTAAGGTGGCTGTTTGAAATGTCTTCTTCAGACATTTAAAAAGGGGGGTTTCTAAGATTATCTGTTGCTATTCACCTTTGAATTCCAGGTTCATGAAGAGAGTTTTCTTAGGAACTGTTGTGACGTTTGGCGACGGAGGCTTCTCTTTCATGTTTTTGTTTATGAATCTTGGTGGATACCCATTCTCTAATAGGATTCCACCTAATAAATTTAATTCTTTGTCTGTCATGTCTTCCGAGCAGATTTTTCGAATCCTTGAACTCAATGTACCTCCAGATTGACATTCAAATCAAAGTCAAGTTAAATATCTCTCTTTGCTGATACTGATAATGTGTCCCCATTCGATCCGATGTCGGTCATCGGTGTTCGCTAGGGACTGGGAATCTTTTAGTCTCAGACTGCTTTTACGGAGTATGCTACAACCTTATGATAAACAATTAGTTACATTTCTTCTCATCACATTTTAACAATTCTTGTTACTTTAAAACTATGATCCTGATGCATAGAATGAACGCGAAACAAGCATATACGTCCTTATTTCGTTTTTTCCTTCACATTCCCATTGGAACATAGGGCCTCGAGCTAATAGCTTGAAGTTTCTGTAGCGATCTTTATTATTTACAGGATGTGGTTGCTAGCCTCATGCCCAAGCTTTTCTCTTTACCAACATTACTTCTGGCTTAGCGAGGTAAAGGAGTGCGTCGTCGGCCGGCGATCGAACCCCGGACCATGTGGATGGTTGGCGAACGTCCTAACCGCTGTACCACCAACGCAAAAGCCAGCTTCTCGACCGAGAATCGAACCCGGGCCTTCCACGTGACAGGTGGAGATACTCATCACTATAGAATCGAGGAGCACCCTTATTTCTTTAATATACTATGTATATTTTTGGGGGTGTTTTCTGTGGAATAGAAGCGTCGAAATAAAAGGTTCACATATAATACTTTAAAACTGATTATTCTTTTTTTTTTGGCATTTGGGTGAGAACAGTCAAGTTCACTGAGATACAATACAGGTCAATCTAGTAGTAGCTGATGAGTGAGTTCCACTGCTAGATATTGTCAAATAATACAGACCGCTATTTATTCTTAACATCTATAAATAACTTTTCTTTAAAAAAAACCACTGCTATGTTGTATTTATTTTCTTTATTTCTTTTGACTTTTCTCTTCTTTCTTTCTTCCATTATTCCATGTCTAGACACGTGCACTTATTGAAGAAATGTCTGAACTACCGGTTATGGTTGAATTAGCCAGTGATTTACTTGATCGTAAAACGCCAATATTTCGTGATGATGTCTGTGTATTTATTAGTCAATCTGGTGAGACAGCAGACACTTTATTAGCTATGCGTTATTGTATTAATCGGGGTGCATTAGCTGTTGGCATAACAAATACTGTCGGTTCATCGATTTCCCGTGAATCACATTGTGGAGTGCATATCAATGCTGGTCCAGAGATTGGTGTGGCTAGTACAAAGGTAAGTAAGTGTTATTTGTGTTTTAAATCCGGGTTTTCTTTGTGTCTGTCTGTCTATCTTTATATGTTTTTAATTGCCAATGCGGAAAAGAAATACAATTTTAATAACAATAGATCCTGGGTAATGAGTGGGTGTGTTAGTCTACTGAAAGTTATAACTTCTAACTAAAGGTTGTCTACAAAGCTTTTGTTCTATTCTTATTTACTATTTTATACATTTTATATGTTGACTAGTAATCATTAAATATTTTCCGGTCAAAAATAAATTCAATAAATAAATAAATAACAATGAAGATCACTAGATCAAAGAAAATTGACATAATTTCTGGTTGATAATAATTATCCAGACAAATCCATAAGGAGATATAAAATGTTCAGAACATTAAGACACCCACTCTCCAATCTACCACTAAGAAAGGCGTATATATCAAGCTACCCTATATGTGGGTGATCATAACAGCTTGGTAACTCGACAAAGGTTGAACTCTAAGGTTAGAAAAAAACCAACTTTTTATGCAGCTAACATTAGAATAATTGAGAATGTGAAGCCCATATATCCATCCATCTAAGTCCTTAGAACATGTGAAAAATAGTTTCGCATCCCACTGTATTTACCAACTTAAATGTACATGTTAACACGCATACATAGGAGGGAGGATTCGTCGATCTCTAAGGGATTTAGAGCATATTTCTAAATGGCTCCAGAAACAAATAGAATCTTCAAAATCCACTAACAGTGAGAACAGGAGACCTAGCTCCTCTATTGCGAAACATATTATAGAGACAGGACATAAAATTGATGTTTACATGACTTTTAAACCTATCTATTAAACGTGTTTGGAGCATATCCTAAATTTTGTGGAAGCCCTAGCAGTTAGGGAGTTTAAACCACCCTTATGCCTTAAAAGCAACAATTCGTCACCACACTGAACGTTCCTTGGTAAACTTTGTTTTGATACTAGCCAGGGTAGATGTTTGTTACCTCCTCTCTTCGGTGTAGTGATCTTCATTATTATTTTGATCTTCAATATGTCCTTTTAGCTTGACTTAAGTTTATTTTCTCACCTCAGAAATGATCAAGCATCAGCTGTCCTCAGGCAACAGCATCTTCCATTGTTTTTATTTATTTATTTTATCCGCAGTTCGAATCCTTTTCTTTTTTCCACGATCATTCTTCACGTTGAAATGGTTTTAATTTGAGAACAGTAAAAATGTTAACGGGACTACAATGTGCAGCTGATATGTGTTGTTAATTTTTTTTTTAAAGTAGTTACTCTTTAATTCGGCTGCCGCAAAAAGGATTTCCAACTGACCATGCAAACCTTATATCAACAACTGCCCACTTCTCTGGCTCCATACTAAAGATCAAATGGTAACAAGAAACCACGGCAGCAAACCAACCAAAAGCTGATTTCTCAACAAATATGCAGAAGAAAATGGAGGTGGATTCGGCACACATTGAGGAGACTGTCGAATGACATCGGGTGCAATACAGGTTACTGCTTGAGTGGAAGCCGAATGGGAAACGATGAATGGAGATCGTAGTATGCGAGATTATGGGCGATCATAGTTCTAAGTGAAGACAACAGCAGAAAATAGAAGAAAGTGTAGATGGGTTGTTGGAGCCCCATGTTTCACTCAGAACCCGAGGGAATAATTGAATAAATGTAATGAATAAATTTAATATAGTTGTATAAATGTACCGTATGCTGGCTATCTGATTAGCTATACTTTTCTCTGCGTTCACTAATACACTCCTAATGGCGCTTTCTTTTTCAGTGTACTGATGCTTATTTCGCTAAATATTATTACTTGTATATTTCAAATTTTTTCTGCATGCTACTGTTGCTTTATTTAGATAGAAGAGGAAAATAAGTGGATATTGACTTTTCTTCTTCTTCTTATTCTTTCTTTTTCTGTGTCTTTTAAAATGAAAATTAAAAGGCCTATACAAGTCAACTGATCGCTCTGGTTATGTTCGCCTTAGTATTATCTGAAGATCGTATATCACTCCAACCAAGGCGTATTGGAATTATTGAAGCATTGTCAAAGCTATCCGGTATGTTGGAAAATTTTTCAGTAATATAATTAACTAAAGATTGTGTAATTATTAGTAATGTAATAATAGTAGTAGTGTCTGGGAACCCGTTAGCGCATAGATATATACCTCTTTCTGCATTCTCTATGGAACATAGGGCTTCAAGTTTTTTGAAATATCAGTAGAACTGATGTTGTTTTCTGACAGTTTGGGATTACTAACTTCATGCCGAAAATTCCCTTTTTTCTGAGGTTACTTTTGACTGGTAAACTAGGGCGGGGTTTCAGGAGTGTGTTGGCCGGGAATCGAACCCTGACTATATATCTGTTCAGCGGAAGCTCTGCCACTGGGACACCATCGTCATATATATATATATATATACCTATGAGGAATAAACTGATGAAAGCAGGTTTATTTGACCAAAATAAGACGGATATTTCTTTGATTATAGCTTCATTCCACACCGTATTTTTAGTACAGGTATGGAATTTTCAGCATGCGATATCGGTAGCCCAAATTTTGCAGGCCGACCATAGATATCAGGTGTTCGTCGGCAGGGGATTGTACCCCGGACCATGTGCATGGTCGGTGAGAGTCACAACCACTGTGCCACTGAGGCACATGAAACTTATATTAATTTTATTATACCATTCATTATGTATTAGGCACATACTGTTTATCGTTTTCTGTTGCTTATTGTGTCTGTTTCAGCGTTGTTACCTTCCTTTCGCGTTCATGCTTCACTGGCTTTCCCACAAGCATACAAATTATCATTGTTTCTCCCAAGACGTCATTCTGTATACACCTTATGTCGCCTCATAAGTAGCACGCACAATACTCTTACTGTGTGATATCCACTACCAACAAATAAGTGAAAAATGTTCACTGTCTGTTGCATATTATGCCATTTATAGATTTTAAATCGTTGATTTCTAGAGATTCGGTTGGTTTCAAGTTTTTGATCATGAACTGACATCAATCAAGGAGTAGTAGACAGTTAAAGATTCTGGACTCGATCTTTCGTGGGGTAATGCTGAAGATCCTCGAAACTCTAGGAAGAAACAGCTTTACAGTACTCCCTGTCTCTTTTTATAATGCTTTTCTCAACGATTTCAGTTCCAAATTTAGATACTGTTATGGCATAGAATGAATTGTGCAAATATGCTGCACTCAACATAGAGATGCGAAATTCGGATTGTCAAGTGTTTTATTTTCAAGTGATAGTTCTCAGGGATTTGATCGGTTATAGGATTCATCATGAGCTGATATCAGTTAGAGAACCATTGGAAAAACCCGGGAGTACCGGACAGCTAGCTGTTTCGTTCTAGTTCTTCATCAGTACGCACACCACAAAGGTTCGAACCCAGGACCATCCGGTTACGAGGCGAGCACGTAGACCATTAAGCTGCTGAGACCCGACCCAATGGTTCATGAATTCCAACTTATACCAATTCGTGATATATATTTTTGGCTCAATGTCAAGCCAATTGTTCTATGCAGTTCAGAGATTTGATACGTCACCAAAAGGATTTCCAACAGGCTTCAGACTTCAATCAATAACTCCCTTCACTCCATACTAAAAATAAGATGACCAGGAAGGATAACCACCATGGGACCCTAGGAACGAACTGACGGAGAACCTATTGTCTAAGTGGATATGAATGGGAGACACGCTGTGGAGACTGTTGAGTGACATCGTGTACCAGGTCCTCGAATGGAACCTAAACTTGTAACGACGAGTTGGGAGTGTGTGCGAGGGTGAATTGGAGGAGATTGTGTGAATAAGAGGTGGTTAAAAAAACTACAGAGAGCAGGATCAGATGAAAAGGTGCTGGTGAAGACCTATGTTTTACTTGAAACGCGAAAAAAATAATAATTGTACATAATATATAAGTTAGTTTTCACATAAACACACATATTTGATAGGTCATGCAAATTAACGTGTATTTAAACTTCAGGTTATATCTGTTTGTTGAATAAAAGTTGATTGACTGTTAACCAACCGATTAAAAGTGTTAACATCCAAAGTTAAAAAATAATAAATGTTCATAACAGTATTGTGTTAACTGGTTCAGTAATTAAATTGTTCCTTTGATTGACAGATTTGTATTGAAACTGAAACAAGAATAAACAAATAATTATATAAGTATTTGTTGTCTAATTCCTCATGTTTTTCGAAAAGAACCTAATTGTTTTTCACAATTCCACATTTCCAGTAGTTTTGAAGCATAAGTTCATCTAGTTATTCACTGGATACGAATCCACTCTTTTAAGAATTGTGTGTTTTCGTGTGCTGCGTGCCCTGTTGTGTCGATATGTTTAAATAATATGAATGATGACATTAGTCATCTAACTTCACGGCTAGTTATTATTATTATTGCTCCCTTGGGTTCCTAGTGGAACATAGGGCTTCAACTGCACGTCTCCACTTGCCACTTTTGTCTTCCTTCTGCTGTACTTTTCACCTGCATCCATGTTAGTCCAAACTCCTTAAACTCCTCTTCACACGATCTCTTCCATGTCACCCTTGCACTGACGTCCCACTCGCCGCTTCCCTCTAGGCCTGGTTCCACTCGAGGGCTTCACGCGCGATGTCGCCAACGGCCTCCTCAGCGAGTGTCCAATCCATCTCCACTTTCTCCTGCATATTTGTTGGGCGATTGGTTCTTGCTTTGTTTGTTCCCATAATTCCTTGTTGGTGGTGATTCTTTCCGGCCCGGCCATCTGATCTTCAGTATAGATCCAGTGAAGACAGTTAGTTGTTGATAAAGGTCTGCAACAGGCTGTTGGAAATACTCTTTGTGACTCGCCCGCCAAGTTTCTGATCCGTATAGAAGAACTGACTGACTTTACGTTTGTATTGAAAATCCGAATTTTGTTGTTGATGCTGAGTGACGAAGATTTCCAGATTGGTTTCAGGTTGATGAATTTGTTTCTCGCCTTCCTGATTCTCGCTTGATTTGACATCCTCGTCCGTTCCGACCTCCTGTAGTTGAGACAATGCTCCCTAGATAAGTAAATGAAGTGACCTCTTTCAAATGCCTCCCGTTGATGATGATTGGCGCTGGATGCTGTTGTTGTTGTTGGTTGGTTGGTTATTTTCATAACCTCCGTCTTGTCTATGTTCACTTAGAGTCCTGTCTTCTCTGGCTGCTTCTTCGACCAGTTTGTCGGTTTTCGCTTGTAAGTCTTCGATTTTGTGGCAGTGACATCAAACATGAATCATCCACGAGCGAAATCCAGGTCTTCTAGGTTCTTCACGTCGGTCCAGGATATCCTTGTCTTCTCGTTTCCAACTGTCTGACGCATAATCCAGTCTACCGCAATTAGGAATATCAATGGTGATAATAAGCACCCTTGTCTGACTCCTTTGTTTATTCCAAACGCCTCGCTGAGTTTTCCGTTGTGGATCACTTGACATGTGCCGTTGTCGTAAAGCTGTTGAATAAGTTTGATGAATATTTGGGGTACGCCGTAGTATTCGAGTAGTTTCCAAATTACTTCACGGTCGACGCTGTCGAAGGCTTTCTGAAAGTCTATAAAGTTGAGGAAGAGGTTTGATTGCCATTCCATGTTTTGTTCTGTGATGATGATGCGTAGAGTTGCAATTTGGTCAGAACATGATTTGCCTTTCCTGAATCCAGATTGTTCCGGCAGGCGGAGTTCTGTATCCAGTGCGTCCTTTATTCTCTTTAACTCGCAGATTCCCAACACTTCTATTCTGTATCTCTTCATTTTTGCGGCTACCTGGGTAGCCTTTCCAGTTTCGTACATTGTACGAACGTTCCACGTACCCATCCTTATTTTTGCTTTCATCGAAAGAAGGCACATCGGCTGACTGGCTTCTCGAAGGGTTTCACCAGCCTGCGTCATTTCGCTGTTATACTGTTAGAATTTTTAATATATTTGTGCATTGAAGTTTCTTTAGCAATTTGGCTACGTTTTGGGGGTGGAGTTGTACCACGCTAGCTAGCACCACGCCCCAACCCTCCCTCTTTATCTGGGCTTGGGACCGGCTAGAAAACCAGCAAGGTAGTAGTCTAGACGAGGTTTATCACGGCTAGTTGAAGGTATTTTATTGATTGATTTCATAGTAGACTTATTAATGCACTAACTTTAGTTAGTGAATCATCGATAGCCGAGAAAGCAATGCTCAGGAGTTTATTCTTGTTTTGACGAACTTCCAACGAACGAATCACCTTTGATTTAAGCCTACTTTTGTCAGTTTAAGACCTATGCATGTAGCTACTTGTTGGTCAGATTACTAGTAGTCCAATTTCAGCGGTATAAGACTAGAAACTTGGTAAGGAATGTTTATTTGGAAATTGGTATCTCTATATAGCCAAATTATGTGCACCTTATCTACAACGCATAATTTGCACAGATCTTCGTGTAGTGGTACTTCTGGACTTATATTGTGTTTCTTTGTGTCCCTTTCACGTCTCCCATGTATTTTCTCAACTCTGTATCATTTGCCTTCTCTAACACCAAATCTATCTCCCTGCAATTTGATGTTTTATGCCGATAGACGTCTCTTTATAAACTACTGATAAACCTCGCCAGTAGCACACGCCACACATTGACTTATGATTTCTGTGTTCTGCAGTATGTCATTATCTCCATTGAATTTCATGACTGACTAATTTTCGTTTATTCTGGTGTAACTTCATGACAAAATCCCACCTTACGATTGATCTCACTAACGATATAAATCCAATAATTTCGAATCAAACTCTGTTTCAAGAATCTCTAGGCCTGAGATGGAATTCCTAAAGTTTTAGTGAAAATTCTGAACGACTTTGGTTTGATACCTGAATTATGATAACAGTTACTGACCATTGGTAGTGGTGGATAGTGGTGGCTGTGTTCCGTAAATCTGAAAAGTTTGAAAGTCATAGTTCAGTGGATGCCAACCGACCCAGGAGCTAAATAATGATGTCGCCACTTTGTAACTTGGTGGTTTTGGCTAGAATTCATGTGTAGTGAATAGGCGCTTCTGAGTCCGTGTCCAATGCACCTTAGTTCCTAATAGTTCTGTTACTTGTAGTGGGTTGTGTTGAGTGCCAGTTGAGTTTTGTTGTTTTATCTCAACTGATAAATACAATCAGACTGATTCTGGCCGTCTTCGAACACGATGAGCAGTTTTGGCTGGCAAATATTTACACTCATTGAGGAAATAGTACTTTAATTACCTTCCCGGGACAGATGACTGTAACGTTCTTTGGAAGACGTTTCGGAGAGGTTGAAGCTGCCTTTATTCGCGCTAAATTTTACCAGCGTCCAACGTCTACCTGTGTGGAATTTAGGCATTTGTCCTCTAACTTTAACTCAAGTCGGAAGTGTTGCCTCTAATCCGGAACAAAGCAAAGCAGTCATATCTGATGAAATGAATCCAGCAACATTTAAGGACGATGGTGAAGAGCTGTTGTCTGAGTTAACCGAGATATTGGGTAGTTTATGGGGATCAGAGTGATTCTTTGTAGACTGATGTAAATCACTGACTATATCAGAAGAAAGATGAGTCTCCCTGTCACAGTCATAAGGGTATTAGTTTGATTAACATAGGATCTTAAGTGTGACTTTTGGTAATCATGTGTAGACTCATCCTTGCTCAGGAAAAACAAACCCGTGGATATTGAGGAGATTTGGACCAAGAAGAGGGTGTACTGGTCATATCTTCACGCCTCGATAGATTCCGGAACATAGACATACTTACCGGCATCCAGTACTTGTGATGTTTCCTGACCTAAAGGTGAAATTTGACTCCGCCGATCGAGAGATGTATGATTGTGAAGGGAGTACCGCTAATGTTTACCAAATTAATCGAAGCACTCCAATCGAACTCATGTAGTCGTGTAAGAGCTTGTGGAGAGTCTGACAGAGACGCCAAATGTGTCATTTTTCGTTTGTTTTCACCACAGCTGTACTAATGGATGTAACTTTAATTGACTTAAGCTATTTAGGGATTGACTTGTTACCAAGGGACAGTCAATATGTAGATAATATTGTCTTTCTAGATGAAGGCACTGACAAGATACACAATCCTTTGAAAACCTTGGACAGAAATCGGCATGAGATTTGTCCTTGTCAAACGTGAAGTGGTCTTCATCGACTCCCAGTTAAAAATAAGGAATGAAGTGGTTAAGTGTGTCAACTACTTCACCTAATTGTTAAATTGTATCAGCCGCAGTTGACTGATTGCTGACAAAATCTCAACCGTAGCATTGTTTAGTCTACGCTATATGTGATATGGACTTGATATCCAGGCATCTATCAAAGGATGTGTATATGTGCAGCAGCTCACTCTGTCTGCTGCAGATGTGTGACACGGCCAATTCAAGTGAAAAACTTTAAGAGGCCACCTGTCTACCATCACAGTTATTGATGCTTTCCAAACAGAATGTGCAATCAGATGCTCGTGAGAGTCACAGTTCAAAATGAAATTCCACCCAGGTTTCGTTTTGAGGTACACTGTTGATTGAAATATGCAGTTGAAAATCCTTTCGGCTTTCTTGACTAAAACTTCATTTCCTTAGAGTTAATCTTATCTTGGTCTTTCCAGGCCGGAAAGTCGAATCAGTTCAAAATTCACCTCGGTGTCATTCATTCAGCAATGACCTGGAGTAATGATATGTATGTACCACTGGTGTCTTATAGTACGAATAACAGAGATTGTTGTTCTCCTTCTGGTAAACATTGTCCTAATAAAATATTGTTAATAATACTGTAAATGTATATTTAGTTCACAGCCAAAATAGCCCGTTAGCATGTATTCAGTCAGTTATGATATTGAGAAGACCAGTAGTTCAGCGAAGAGTCTCTTTTCGGTGGCGAATTCATTCTCACAGCTGTACAATTGCAAATATGTATGATTATTTTGTATGTGTGTGTAAATTAAATTTTTCAGATGAAAATACAATTAGTAAGTTTTTGATGGAGTTACGCAATACGAGAAAGTGTTCATAAGAATTGGATGTTGATATAAGAAGGTAGTAAGAAAAGTGATAATTTATCACAAACGATTGTCAAAGAAGAGTTACGTAATAACATGAACAGTTTGGTGAAAGAGTTGTGCTCATGGTGTACATGGAAACAAAATCAAATACGGAATTACGTAGGTTTCAAGTAGTTAGAAAAATAAGCATACAAGCAAATGTTAAGTGAAGTCACCAGAGTGGCTGAGTAATTTTCTTTTCTGTCCATTGTTCTGATTCTTCTAATTGAATGTCTAGTGATTCTGAAATGCGAAGAAGACGAAAACGTATTGTCTTTGGCAGGTTGTTCTTCACTTTGTAGATTACTTTGAAGCAGGAGGTGTTTGTCGAGATGGAATTCCCGGTGGTGACGAGTTGTTGGATTATTGCACTCTTTATACGGCCACTACTTCCTTTCTACAACCACGCTGGATAATTTTCTTTGACCGTTTTTGACAGGATGTGCGTCGAATGACTAATATCCTTGGCTTCCCACGCCAGGTGTGAGATCTTGTCCTTTGGGTTCCTACAGATCAGCGGGCGACTGGAGAACACGGCTGTCAGTGTTGCCGCGAATAAAGTCCTTAAAGAAGTAGAAATTCTCTTCTTAAGGACATCACTAAGTAGGTCACCTCTGAAGTCGAGGTTCATATGAATTCGCCGAAAATAGACACTACGCTAAACTACTGATTTTATCTGTATTAATGTTCGGATGGGGGGGATTTTCCATGAATTAAAAAGTTCTGATAGTGTCAGTGTTTTTTTCAGCTTTTCGTCACTCCATATGGTAATACATGCTATCAAGTCCATGAAGTAAGTTCATTTGATGTGTTGATAAGATCAGAGCATTATTTTCTGAGCCTCAGTATTACTTCTAATCATCAATATAGAATGTAGGATGAGAGATAATGTGAAATTATGTTCCAAACTGTCACTTATAATACCTTCCATGTTGTATTTTCTCTCCTTTTCTTTTCTTAGATCAAATTCGATCCATCTTAAAATTAGATTCATCATTAAAAGAATTGGCTGAGAAAATATATATGAAGAAAAGTATCTTGGTTATGGGTCGTGGATACAACTATGCAACATGTCTTGAAGGTGCTTTGGTAAGCGAAGTTATGCACTTCTTCTTCTTCTTTTACTCTGATTAATGCATCGTTAGTTAGTTTTAAAGTCAGACGAAAGTTAAAGAGATATCATTAGTGTAATAAAGCTGACTTGATTTTTAATTCTCTGGAAATGCCCATATAGACATGGATATAAGAGCGAAAACGTTCAACGAAGAGTCTCTTTTCGACGGCGAATTCATCCACTTGGCTGTACAGTCACATTTACATTTAGTTATTTTGTTTGTGTGTATGTACATCAGGATTGTCAAAAAAAAATTCAAGAATTCAAGAACCATTAGATCGGGTTCCAATGGTCTACGAGCTCGCCTTGTACCCAGAAGGTCCTGGGTTCGAACCCCGGTGGGTGCGTACTGATGAGGAGTTCCAAACTAGTACGAAACAGCTGTCCAGTACTCCCAGGTTTTCCAGTGGTTCTCTAACTGATGTCAGCTCATGATTAAATCCTCCATACAATCAAACCAAATCCCTACAAAACCAATATTTGAAAATAAAAAATAGTTAAGGTTACTATTTAAGTCATCAAAATGTTTGTAAAATGTGATGAATAATGAAGATTGTAACTAGTGGGGTGAAGATTGGTAGGTATTGACAAGGGTTGCGTAATATGAAATAGGATGTTAGTAGAGACACGGGTCCAATATAATGGATTATGTAATAGGTAGAAAGACTAAAAAGCGGGTTACTTAAGAAGATATCATTAAGATGCCATACAAAAATTTTAGAGAACAAAACATTATTAACAAAGTCTTAGGACTTGGAATTATACCCAAGGTAGAAGGAGGGGTTGGAGAAGTTTCTTCTGTGTGCATAAATCAGGGTTTTCTATCCGGATGGCTAAGACCTCGACAGTGCAATGTATACAGAAGCTTACCGTTTTCGGTAGGCTTCTTTTGACTTTTTAGTTGACTTTGATTGAATTCTCCTTGCATATTGAGTGACCAGTGTTGACTATATGTTTAATTATAGCACTCTTTATTGATCCACTGTTACCTTTTCGTAGCGAAGCGGAATAATGTTCTTTGAGTCTTTTGCATAAAATACGCATCGAACGACCTATGTATCTCGTTCGCTCCACATGAGCAAGCAAAATTAGTAGATACACACAGAAGTGGTCAAATGCGATAGTTTATCCTTGGAGTTATTGAATAACGATGGGTGAATTGAGAATACTAATCGTAATGTAACAGCAGAGAATGTTCTTCCCAGGACGTTAGATATTCTTCTTTTTAGAATCTCGCCCTTAGAATGTGTTACCTTTGAACGCCTCATTCATGTGTAGCATCTTCTTGCGTACAGAGATGGATTGTTCTTTGTTGGTTTTCGGCTTTATATGTTCATCAATAAAGCGTGGTGGGTAGCCATTCTCAAGAAGTAGTGTCTTGATTTTGTGTAGTTGTCCAAGTCAATTGTCATCCCTTATAGTCAAGATATATTAATAAAGTAGGAAATACTTGTGCTTTTGATTTTGGCCTTCAGCTGAAAATTACAGTTACTAATATAGACTGAGACCAGACAACCTGCTTTTCCTCTAGACGACTTGACACTGACTGTCGACAACTTCATGTTTTATTATCTTGGCCATGATAGGCTTCATACCATATTACATAAGAATAGTTCGAAGGTGATGTCAGCCAAATAGCAGACAAGTGAATTTTTTATCTTTCATAGCTTGTTATGTTATGCTGTCACAGTATATTTTCTCTTAAATTCTAGAAGCTGGGCATCACTTCGAGTTATCATACCTTTGAGATAATTCACACATGAAGTTAGTAGTGGTTCCTTAAAATTGCGCTCTAACGAACAACGCTAGCTAACACATCATTAAAATCATAGGTGATAAATTAGAGGTTGATTGTATCTCCATATAGCCAAAATAAGTACGCCTTATCTTCAACTCACCATTTGCACAGATCTTCTGTGTTGTGCCTGCTACTTCTGGCCTTCCTTCATATTGTGTTTCTTTCATGTATCCCATGTTTTGCCGCAACGCTGTATCATCTCTCCCTTTTGGCATCAAATCTATCTTCCTGCTGCTTGATGTTTTTATACCGCTGAACGTCTCTTTACATACTACTAACAAGTCTTATGAGTAGCACATGCAACACAAGATGAACTATTTAATTTTAAAGCGTTTACAACTTTGAAGAAAGTATTCATTCCTACACCCAGTTCGCTTGATTAGTTTGAACAAAGAGAGAACGAACTTATTCGCAAGATACAAAAACACCCATGTTTCTTATTTCAAGGGTTTTCTTCAGCTGCTAACAACCCAAAAATGATATAAGACGTAACAAATATTTCATTAGTTGTACTCCCTGAACTCAGAGAGCATTACTAATTCAATATTACCCACCTGAGCTCTTCTCCATTAGGCATAACAAATTTAAAAATATATAACCTACGTCAAAAATTATTTCAACTCTAAGGTTGTAGTTGTGGAACAAGAGATATGAATACAATATGGTTTATATATATATTTTTTTTCTGTTTTACATTGTAGAAATTGAAAGAGTTAACCTATATGCATGCTGAAGGTATTATGACCGGTGAATTAAAGCATGGTCCTCTGGCGATGATTGATAGTGACACGACAATAATTATGATTATAACACGTGATCGATTATTTAAAGTAAGTTATTTGTTGCGGGAGTAGAATTTAAAAGCACTAAACAGTAGAATATCATTCGATATTGTATCGGTTTATTTAAGACAAATAATGATAATAACAATCGGGTGATGTTTCGAGCAGTATTCATCGCTCATGCCATCTGACTAACTGACTGACTAGTTTCAACATAGAACCTTGCACAGATGTGCACAGCTTCGAGTTGCCACACTCCCTCCTTGCAGTACAGAAAGCGGAAGACGATAGTAAAGGGAGGTTCATCAAAAGAGGGATAACACACAGAGATATGAGGCTAAAAGAATAGTAATGTGGAGGAAAAAATATAATTTTATTGGATATTATAATAAATTACAAAGAGCGAATACATCTGCGCTGGTCATTGAGAACGAGGGTTTCGAGTCAGCCATATCACCGGTTGTCTCCCAACATTAGTTCTTATTATCTCGAGGAACTCACCAGGAAGTCTGCACCTCACTGCGTGGCTGGCTAGCTTGAACTAACTGTTGTGAATTTCAGTCAATGGACTGATGAAACCATGTTTTAGTTTAACCATCAATAACTCATTCTCTTTGCAACCTTATTGATTTTATGTCAGTCAGCTGACATCGTCCGTCGAGGAAGGCGAGCTGTGTCTAAGCGTGCATGTGGAATACATGCCCTAACCATTTCTCTCAGTCGATGCAGCTGCTTCAATGTCTTATCGATTGATTTTCCCCTCCTTACCTAGCTAGCATTCACTGGGCGCCTAACCTCAATATTGCTTACGATACCATATCAGTATATTCACAAAACATCCTAACTTGCTTTATATATAGCCTTCCTTCTTCGTGTTTTGGACTGCAATCACCGGGTGTTGGGTGTTGATTCGGTGAACAAACACTGTGCTAACTAACTTCTCTCTCTCTCTTTCGGAAAAATTGGATTACCAATAAAATCGATCAGAAAATCTGAAAAAAATATGTGTGTGAGAGAGAGAGCAATAAACTGTGCTCAAAAGGTCAACACTGTGTTGTATCAAACAAAACCTACTTAGTAGGTCTATTGTTGTTTAAACAAATGATAACCAAATGATGAATTTTAAATAATAAACATGAATAAGTAATAATGATTTTCTTGGGAGAATAGTTTGTTAATGATGGCTGTGACATAAAGAAAAGGTTGAACATATCTTCTACTGGGTACACAAAGTTTTCTTGAACTTTCGAACTGCTTATGCTTCACAGTTATAGTTAGAAGTTTTGGCATCACTACTTTTGACTGTGGGGAGTGATAAGACGGCAATGCTCTAGATAAGCCGATAAAAAGACTCTCGAGGATCTGGATTTCGCGCATGGATGATTTATGGTTAATGTCACACAGACACAAAGACTTGGAGGTGAAAACCCACGGACTGGCAGAATAGGCGAGCAGCGAAGACAGAACTTTAGGTAAACATAGAGAAGGTAGAGGTGATGAATATAACCAACCAACAGCAACACCAACAACCAGCACGAATCACTATCAACGGGAGAGATTTGAAAGAGGTCACTCACTTCCTTCGCTTATCTGGGAAGCACCGTCTCAACTACAGGCAGTCGGAACAGATGAGGATGTCAAAGATGGCCAGAAGCGGAAAGGCAAGATACACCTTCATTATGGATAAGATTTTATTTTGATAAATCACACAGTGTTGTACAGTAAGTATTTACTGATGACGTTTTGAGCATATACTTATATAATCAGCCTGAAACCAGTTTAGAAATCTTCTGCACTCAGCCAGCGTGAAGAAGAAGACTCAGGTTTTTTTTAACACCAATGTTTAGTCAGTCACTTCTTCAATATAGGTCAGATACATGACGGGAGTGTCTCGAGAAGGATTTCCAACAGGCTACTGCAGGCTCTTATCAAAAACTGCCCTCTCTGCCTTTATACTGAAGATCAGATGGCCCGTGGAAAGAATTAGCAAGAAGATACTATGGGAACATAACAACCGGGAGCCATCTCGTTCTACAAATATGTAGGCAGGAGTGAAGATGGACCGAGCATATGTCGACATCGCGCGCCAGCCAGGTCATTGCTCTAGTGGAATCCCAATGGGAAGCAACGAATGGGTCTTCCTAGGGTGACATGGAGGAGATCGTGCGAGATTATGGGCAATCGTGGCCCCAACTAAAGAGGACATCAGAAAATAGAACAAATTGGGGATGTGTTGTTGAAGCCCTATGTTCCACTCGGAACCCAAGGGAATATTAATTACAATAATAATAATAATAACATAATTATTACTTTTTTCAGATTATGCATTACTGATCACGCGTAATTATTGCTTTTTTTCTCTCTTTCATTTCGTTTGTCTAGAAAACGACGAATGCGTTATCGGAAATTAGAGCACGCAAGGTAATCAATTAGTGATTGTATTTTATAGTTTTTCTCTTCTGTACAGCTTTTGTAGTCATTTTGCATAATATACATTGTTTACGTGATTGCTTATTTAACTAGACTGTTTAAATTTGATGCCTGTAATAATTATGTGCGGTGGTGAATGATGTACGTAGTCTGGATCCAATTCCCGACCAACTCACATCCCTTAATGTTGCTCTTGTGAAAAGGTTGGTCGTGAAGCAACACTCGGAGAAAATAGTTACCCTATTTAACATCATAATCTCTTCTTACTTTGATGTATTGTTTCTATGATGTTTGATAATTAAGCGTCTAAGCTTATATAGTGCAATACGCTTCTTCAACTACTATCTTCTTATAAAGAAGCTTCATGATGTCTGTTTTAAGATATTGGAAATTGAATTGACTATGGGGAAAATTTTACACACACACACAGAATACTTGGTGTAGTAGTTGGGTTAACAACAACGAATGATATAGTTCCCCTTCCGACGAATCTGGTGTTTAAAGTTGATTTAATGAGGATTTAGTTAAGCGAAATACTCACCAGTGTGTGTGTGTGTGTCTAGTGGTGCTAGCTAGCGGTGCTGACTGCATTCTGTCAGTCGAATATGTATTGTGGTCATCAAGCTAGGAAACTGGTTATTGCATCGCACTTTGAGTTATTGTTTGATGTATTTGATGGCTCGCGACGAACTAGTAATTGTAATTGCAATTAGAACTGCACTGATCAATCTCCAATAGAACTTATCAATGATTGCAGTGCCTTAGCAATTTACTTGCTAGCGTGGAAGTATCATTGTTCCTTAACTTGTTTTCTATTCCCCTGGTATTCTGAGTGGAAAATACGACTTGGAGCTTGAGATTTGAAGTTTCAGCAGCGGTGAGGTTATAAGTCCTCCATCTTTACCCTACTTACTACAGGGTTAAGGAATTTTTGGAGTGTTGTGTCGGCCGGGAATCGAACCCAGAGCATATGCATAACTGGCAAACATTCTATCTAATGAACTACTGACAACGTACCACGGTTTAAATTGTTTAGCTGATGTGACTTCTTTATATAAAGATGCTAATAGAGTGCAGCCTTCAGAATACCCATCTTACTTAACCTAAAAGAAATTCTTAAATTGGAATGTGTAATCCGCTTCATGATACTATCTGCTGGTAGACGTGTTTGCCAATCTTGAGGGGTTCACCTCATAGACTGATAGTAATAATAGGAGATAGGGTATTATTGACGAGTGCTTTACTGGATTATGGTGTTCGGAAATCAAACGATAAAAAAGTCTAATTGTACTACCTAAACAGCTAATTGTCTCCACAGGAGCAGTCGAATTGATAGATAGATACACATAGAAGAGGCGGAATTAGGCAGTTTGTCTTTAACTCTCGAACTCAAACACAAGTGTGATTTTAAAGACATAGCATACTTCAACAGCACTGAATGTCCTATTTACCGCATTCCTTAGGTGTTGTGTTAATATCTCACTGATGTTATCTCCTAGGAATTGAAGTTGTAAGAACAAGGCCTTTGTTGCAACTGTTGGTACTTTGGCCTGCCTTGACTTGATTGTTCTGGATAGTCCTTTTCATTCAGCACCTGTTTAGTAATATCAAGGTCTTCATTGAGACATTCATCAGAACAGATTGCTCTTGCTCCGTGAACCAATTACTTTATTAGATTGTGTTTGTATTTCAAAGGCACGAAGCTAAAAAAGTGAGTATACTGATCAGTTGATGTAGGTTTTCTATATACACTTCTTGCTCCACAGTCCTCTTATCTAGTCATTTGGACGTCGAGGAATCAAAATACTAGAGTCTCTTTCTTTCTCAATGGTAAAATTTATTACAGGATAAATGTGGTTCAGTTTGTCAAGGATGTTTCTTGACTTCATCCTCATTTGTTCTCATAATCAAAAATGTATCATCCATAGTAGAATTCTAGTTCATCAATCACATTTTTCAAAGGCTCATTCTCTGGTTTTGTTTTTTTACCATTAGAAAGTACTTTAAAGCATAGATTTTCATCACCAACTTGTTTTACTTTGTTTTGTTTCTTTTCAAGGGTCATCCAATTGTCATTTGTAGTGAAGGTGATTCTCAGGTTATGGCTGAAGCATCATATGCTATTCAAATACCTGAAACAGTCGATTGTTTACAAAGTGTACTAGCAGTCATTCCATTGCAGTTGATCTCATTCCATATAGCTGTACAACGTGGATTGGATGTAAGTTTTAATGAAAGATTTAAAAAAAAAAACAACTTTTTAAAGAATGGCTACTGAACAAAGAATATTCTTTTCGATAACTGCCTTCTTCATCAGGTTCTACAGTGATATATACGTAAAAATCTATGGTTGGAAACAATTGGTGACATGGCTCAAAACCGTTCTCAGTGGCGCAGTTGCATCCACTCCCTGTGACTTATGATCTTCAATGAAACTGTTTTGTATTTCTTTATTACTCCTTTGTCTCACACCTCTGCTCACTGTTTTGATTATGCTTTTCTTGTACTTTCTTCTGTTGCTTCGCGTGCTACACGGAATGTGGCGACTTGAACTGGCGCACATTTGTGTAAAGTTCTATGTCGAAAACAGACAGACAGATATACGTAATAGTGAACGACAGAATGATCGCTGTTGTAAACATCGAATCATTTAGATTAGAATTCCAAAAGTTATTTGCAGTTAGACTGTTAATAGATTATAGTCTAATACATATATATATATTCAGAACCAAAAAATATTTAGAGCGAACAATTGTGGTTTCAATAAATTCCTTTTCAGGCTGCTCTACAATTATAAATCCATTAATTTAAGCATACAATGGCCAGTCAGTAAAGGCACATTAGAATCATATCAGAAAGTGTATTGTGGAACAAGTATAAGATGGGATGAAACGATAGTCATATAGTTTTTTGTAACAGTAAACTACATATGTGACCAGCTGATAGAAAGAAAGATAGATGTAGGAATCCCATCCGAAAAAGTCAAAGAATTATTATAATTAAAATGCACTATGAATGTTCAGTTTATGTTCAATAATGGTTTTTATAGACAAGTTGATGGCGTAGCCATAGGATCACCTCTGGGCCCTACGCTAGCGGATATTTTCCTGGCAAAGCTTGAAAATGGTCCACTCAAAGACACGAATAAAGGGCTTGACTATTATTGTCGATACGTAGATGACACCTTTATCGTTTGTGAGAGAAATCTTAATAAACAAGAGCTTCTGAATGCCGTTAATAGTGTTCACCCAACTATTCAGTTTACATGTGAAGAAGACAATAACAGTTTACCTTTCCTAGACAGACGAATATCTACAAAGGAAATTATTTAGAAAGAAAACTTGGATGAGTCAGTACACCCATTTCCATAGTTTCACACCGATTCAGCACAAAAGAAACTTAGTTAAGTGTCTTAGCTACAGAATAAAACGCATATGCTCAGAGGAATGCATTAGGGAAGAAATGCATAGATTGAAACTCACACTGCAAGAAAATGGATATCCACAGAGTTTCTTAAAAACGTATGTGTCAATACCTACAGACAGGGTAAAGGTGGATACCGTAGACAAGAAACCTTTGTATCTTAAGTTAAGTTACAAAGGGGAAATTGCAGCTGACATTCTAAAATGTCGACTTAATAGAGCAGTAGATAGAACATTCCCTGCAGCTAAACTGGTACTAAACTTCTCAACTAAACCAGTTCTACTCACACAGCAAGTCAAGGATAAATTACCAAAGATGGCCTCATCAACGTGCATCTATGAATTCAACTGCTCTTTTGGAGTTAGTTACATTGGCCTTACCCAGAGGGCTTTATCCATGCGCGCGCGTGAACATGTACCTGTATGGTTGAGTAAAGGAGTAGCTATATGACTATAAGACTATTGTTTCATCTCATCTTATACTTGTTCCACAATACACTTTCTAATGTGATTCTAGTTTGCCTTTACTGGCTGGCTATTGTAGGCTTAAATTAATGGATTTATAATTGTAGAGCAGCCTGAAGAAGAATTTATTGAAAACACAATCGTTCGCTCTAAATATTTTGTTCTGAATATGTATAATTGTATGTATTTACTAAATTGAACACCAATATTACAAAGTAAATAGTTATGAATGAAAACGAATGTAGGGTAATAAATTCTCATGGGTCACGTTCATATTAAGTTCCATTCATATTGATTATAAACTTCAGATGGGTGAGTGATCATATTAAAGACGCGGGTAGAGAAAAAGGGTTTTTGGGTTTTAATTTTAGGTGCGTTGTATGTGTGTTGGTGTGTAAGGTAACGACTAGGTCCGAATAAAAAACAAAGGGTTAGTTAATTCAAGTGTAGTGATAGGGTTAGAGGGATTTATATGTACAAGATGGAGGACCATATCCAAAAGGCCGATGTGTAATAAGGTATTTATGAATTTGCAAACTCCACAGCAGGCCAGAGCAGTAAATAGTGGTTGGACCTATTTCTTCTGCACATAGAGCACCGGTTGTCTCAGGCGAATCGCGATAGTCTCTTTGCTGTTTGGAGTAAGAGGTACTTGGATGTTTTTGGCAATAATATTGTCAATAACAATCATTCTTTCATTATTATGGATACATAACTGTAGAATCTGATGATGAAGTTATCGGAAGAAATATTCCTTGTTCAATAATGAATCGTTTGAAATAATTTTGTATTGAAAAATGCCCTATACTTCATGTGAAAATACATTCTGTCTTCACACATCAATAGTGTGAATGTTTTATTCGTTTGAGGACAGACTTAGATCTTTTTGAATAAAGGTTGCAATGGAACTGTCTAGACACTGAGATAACAATAAGAGGTAGTGGCGTGGGAGTGGGTTAGATGTGCTTGTAGACCAATGAATTGTAAACTTAATATCGTCCGAAGTTAGAAAACCAGATATCTCCAACTGTTGAATTTGATTGACTTGAAGATTCCCAACCAACTGACTTCACAAAAAGAAAACCAGGGGAATTCTGGCTAGCTGTTTTGTCTTTGTTTGGAACTCTCCATCAGTATGCACCCATGACCCATAAACAGAGGACTGAACACAGGACGTTCGATATTCTAGCTTAGAGATAGTGAGTGAAGTGGTAGAGCTTATTTAAGGGGGAAGTTGCGTGAGCCAGTCCCACCGGGTTGATCGCTGACGAAATCTCAGCCCGGATAAAGAAGGCTCGTTTGGCATACGCTCGTCAACTTACTTCATCCCTAGTACTGTAGACGTGATATCCGGCTGGCTGGCTGTTGACCAAAGGTTGTGTGCACTACTGAGTAGTGCGCTCCGTCCTCCTTTACGGTTGTGAGACCTGGCCATTAAAAGTGGAAGACATAAAAAGGCCCGTTATCTGTCTTTGGTCATAGGTGCCTGCGTTCTGTCTCCCGTGTTAAGTGGCACAATAGTAATAGAGTGAACATTATTGAGGTAGGTGTCCAGTGAGTGCTAGGTTAGGAGGGGAAATCAATCGACGAGGTTGTGAAGCAGCTGCATCATTATAGAGCGATGGTTAGGACATGTGTTAGGCATGGATGTCTAACCATAGATCGCCTTCGTTGATGGTCAATGTCAGTTGACTGACATAGGATCAATAAGGTTGCAAAGAGAATGAGTTGTTGATGGTTAAACTAAAACATGGTTTCATCAGTCCATTGACTGAAATTCACAACAGTTAGTTCAAGCTAGCCAGCCACACAGGGAAGTGCAGACTTCCTGGTGAGTTCCTCGAGATAATAAGAACTAATGTTGGGAGACAACCGGTGATATGGCTGACTCGAAACCCTCGTTCTCAATGACCAGCGCAGATGTATTCGCTCTTTGTGATTTATTATAATATCCAATAAAATTATATTTTTCCTCCACACTACTATTCTTTTAGCCTCAAATCTCTGTGTTATCTCTTTTTACTATCTTCTTTTACTTTGTGTACTGTCTGTCTGTTTTCGACATAGAACTTTACACAAATGTGCGCCAGTTCAAGTCGCCACACTCCGTGTAGCACGCGAAGCAAGAGAAGAAAGTACAAGAAAAGCATAATAGAAACAGTGAGCAGATGTGTGAGACAAAGGAGTAATAAAGAAAAACAAAACAGTTTCATTGGAGATCATAAGTCACAAGGAGTGGATGCATCTGCGCCACTGAGAACGATTTTGAGCCATGTCACCAATTGTTTCCAACCATAGATTTTTACCGTCGCGAGGACCCCAACCAGGAAGTCTACACCTTCCTACGTGGCTTAGACCAACTGTTCTAGATTTCATTGACTGGTGCCATGTTTTGGTTTGACCGCCGCTAGCTTTTTTCCAGCCTGATCCTATATCCGCTAACATTGCTCGTCGAGGGAGGCGATGACTAGCCCTACGTAACACATTTCCTAACTATCTCAGTCTTTGTAACTTCACAACTTCGTCGATTGATTTCCCCTGTTTACCTAGAACTCTACGCCTAACCTCCATGTCGCTCACCTTATTATGCCACTTCACACGGGAAATAGAACGCAAGCACCTATGATCAAAGACAGCTAGTCTTTTCATGTCTTCCACTCTCAATGGCCAGGTCTCACAACCATAAAGGAGGACGGAGCGGACTGATGAGCAGTACACCCGCCCTTTGGTCGATAGTCGAACATCTCGTCTACGCCAGAGTCGGCGTAAACTGGCAAATGCGAAACGAGCCCCCTGTATCCGTGCTGAGATTTCATCAGAGATCAACCCGTTGGCACTGGCTGATGGTACTTCCCAAATAAGTGAAGTGGTCAACATGCTATACCACTTCACTTCCTATTTTTAAACTAGGCGTCGATGTAGTCCAGTCCTATAACATCATCTTGCATTTGACGGGAGCGAATCGCATGCCAAACATTCGTAGATTGCTGCTCAAGGTGTTTAGAAGACTCTGCATTTCGACAGCGTCCTCGCCTAGAAGGACTATATCGTCTGCATATTCCAAGTCAACGAGATTATTCCCAGGTAGCAAGTCAATCCCTGAGTCGCTGAAGTCACTTAGGGTTAAGTCCATTAGTACATCTATGATGAAGTTGAATAGAAAAGGGGATAATGGGCATTCTTGACGGACACCACTAGTCGTCACCAGTTCAGATGACAGCTCTCCGTAAGCCCTCACCTGGCTGTATGAGTACGAGTACAGTGCCTTAATCAGTGCAATATATTTTCTCGGAATTCCCTTTACAGCTAAGCATCTCCAGAGAACTTCTCGATCGACAGAGTCGAAAGCTGCCTTTAGGTCAAGAAATATAATGATTGTTGGACGCCGGTAGGAATTCCTATGTTCTAGAATCTGTCGGAGGGTGAAGATATGATCAATACACCCTCTTCCTGGTCTAGAGCCTGTCTGGCTCTCTCGTGTTTGTGCCTCCCGAGTACCACTCAGTCTACGCATGATTATTGAGCCTAAGACTTTAGATACTATATTAGTCAAGCTAATCCCTCTGTGATTATCACAGGAAGACTTGTCTCCCTTCTTGTATATGGGGATAATCAGTGACTTACACCAACCCGATGGGACTTCTTCTGACTCTCAGACGCTGCCTAGTACCTCAGTTAATGCAGACAGTAAACTGTCTCCACCGTACTTAAATACCTCTGGAGTCATTCCATCAGGTCCCGCTGCTTCGCCTAATTTCAGATTGGTGACAGCTTTAGTAACCTCAGTTAGGGCTGGAGGACCTGTGTGTATATCCCATTCAGGGAGGTGTTGGATGCTCGGAAGGTTGAGCGTGGCTGTGGGCAAATTAAACTGCTCCTCATAATGCTCTTTCCAACGATCCAGTCGTCTATGTTGGGAGCTAATTATAGTACCATTTTTCTCCGAGATTGTTTCACTAATGATTTGTCTTCTCCCACCCGTTTCCCTTTGTGTACTACAAGGAGATACTGTGGCAACTCGAAGTGATGCACATCTGTACAAAGTTCCATATTAAAACTAGTCGGTCAGTCAGTCACATTCGTTTTCATTCGGAAATTAGTGATAGTGTAGGTTTTAGCCGGTGAAACCACTTCACAGAAAAGGCAATGAATAGTAGGTCTTTATAAAGCTGAAAGAAATCGAATTAGTGACAGCAAAAATAAAAGTAAGAATAATACATCTCTAGAACTCAGTTGTAAATAGTAAATATAAATGCCCGGTAGTTAAGGTATTTTATCAATATTTACTGTAAGCCTTTCTCAATAGACATTGAATCCCTTCACATCATTCTTGTTTGTGTCTTCACAAACCTGATGACCAATCTAAAGCCTACATCATCTCATTGAAGCATCAAAAAAAGAAAGTTTTTCTTGCATTATACCCTTCGAGTCATGAAGAAAATAAACGACTATTCTCCTATCAAAGTCTTTCTACATCGACTAAGTCATTTTCATCTTGCATGCTCCTTTTGTGCCTTTTACTAGGAATTTTTTTCGCTTTCTTCACCTTCAACCCTCCAAACATGATAACAATTTCCACCTAACCAAATATTAAACTCTTACTCTTTCACTGTGTCGTTGATATATCACGTAATACCTTCATGTCTTTAGAAATCACTTCTGTGAATAGCTGTATCAGTTATGTGACACGTACACAACCCGGTCTCCCTCCCCACACCCACCCACGATTACAGACTTTTACACGTTTTTAGTAAATATGATAAATATGGCGGTACAGCTTTTGTTGAAGGTGATTTCGTCTATGAAAACAAAACTTTCTTCACTGATTTATCTTTTCTTTCTGTTTGAATGGCTGACTCAGAAATGTTTGCATTGCAGTGCAACAGTGCATGTTCCACACAATCTCCATGTAGTAGAAGGAAGTGCAATAATCAGAAGTGTACTTGAACAAGAATTAGTGACGTAGAAACACATAAGCGTATGGGGAATTGCAAAGACTGTGAATGCATCTGCATCATTGAGAATGGGTTTCTTCCAGCCATATCACCAAAAAATTTCAAGCATATCTCGAAGTCCTCAACTTGGTACACCTCGCTACATATGTCTCGAACCAACTGTCAAAGACTCCATAATTTTAGTTGGCGGCTTGCTTAAAACTTAGGCTATCGAAAACTTCCAACCATAGTGTCCCAGAAAGGATATACTGTCAATTAATGATTAAGGGTGGCCAATTATAGGATTAGTAGACAAATCGAATACAATGAAAACGTTACGTAATATTGTGTGAAATTTAATAGCATAGAATTTAACGTTGTAAAAAAGAATTGATTTAGAATGACAAGTGAAATAATACCGGGGACAGTTGAAAGTGAGAGTAGTAATAGTAACAATTGACATAATAAGGAAGAGACTACAAATTGAATAGACAAAATGAAAAATTGGTAGAGCTAAAGTATGATTGGGGATTACCATACTTAAGCATAGAGGGATTAAGACGATGAAAGTTGGAGGGGTTGAACGAACTTTTTCTGTACACAAAGATCTGGCTTTTCTGTTTCGATAGCCAAAGCTTCAGCAATACAGATGAGTCGGGTACGTAGGGATTTGGGTAAATTACTCTTTGCCTTGTAGATGACTTTGAAGGCGGAGGCTATAGAGATAGGGTGATCATTATCGACCAGATGTTCAATGATCGCGCTTCTTATTGCTCCACTTCCACCTATTCGTAATGATCAAGCAGGATAGTGTTCTTGCACCCTCTTGGAAAAAATTGGAGTCGAACGACCGATATACCTAGCTCCACACAAGCAGGTGAATTGATAAACGCACATAGAGTTGGTCAACATTGGGATCTTGTCCTTCAGGTTATTGAACAGTAAAGTTCGTTCAATCCCTCCAACTTTCATCGTCTTAATCCCTCTATGCTTAAGTATGATAATCCCCAATCATACTTTAGCTCTACCAATTTTTCATTTTGTCTATTCAATTTGTAGTCTCTTCCTTATTATGTCAATTGTTACTATTACCACTCTCATTTTGAACTGTCCCCGGTATTATTTCACTTGTCATTCTAAATCAATTCTTTTTTACAACGTTAAATTCTATGCTATTAAATTTCACACAATATTACGTAACGTTTTCATTGTATTCGATTTGTCTACTAATCCTATAATTGCACAGCCTTTTTCAAGTTCTATGCATCCGATGAATTAATGATTATACTTGAAAATATTGTATGAAGGCAAAATATCATGCAACAAACTCCTCTGAAGATTTTTGCATTGTATAAATACTGTCTAGAATAAGGATGTTATTATTATTATTATTATTATTATTATTATTAGTGATTATTAACTGCCCCTAACTATTCTTATTTCTGTAAGTTAAATTGTTGATTGTATGCGTGAGTGAGTCAATTTTCTTCTTCTTTTTTTCCTTGTACAGGTTGATTGTCCGAGGAATTTAGCCAAGTCAGTAACAGTTGAATAAATTGTTGAACTTTTGAAAAGACAAGTGAAGATACTCATGTAACTGCCGTTGATTGGATATCTTATATGCTCTGGTGTAAACATGTATGTGCTGGATGAAAGCTTTCATTATTATTATTATTATTATTATTATTATTATTATTATTATTATTATTATTATTATTATGAATATGCTGCCATATCATAATTGTGTTTTTTTTAATGTTTTTTCTCTTCTTTTGCCCGTTTTTCAATTTATGTGGTACATTTTTTGTGATCTGAACTGTATTCATTTATACAAATTAATTTGTTTTTACTTTGTTGTTTTTTTTAATTAAAATTCTTTTATCATGTATTTATATGTATGTATTTTAATATTCCATTTTTGAAAACTTTTTTTTTGTGTGTGGCTTCTTCCACTGTTTTGTCCTCACCATTTCTCTCAAGAGATGTGTTTGTTCTCCATTTCCTCCAGCTATTTGCTTTGTCCTACGTTGGTATACCATCACTCATTACTATCATCATCATTCTCTTGAAGGATTAGAGAATGTTCAACTGATGTTCTATGTGTGTTTTGCCTTTAACCGTTTACCTCATGGGTTTATTTTGATGTGTCCTCTTTTGTATCTTATCATTATCATCATCATCATTATCATCACTACTTCACAGGTCGTTTCATCTGGCCTGTTTCCCTTCTCCTTTTTCATATGTGACCATTTTATTTTCTGGTGTTTTACATGATTTTTGAACTTTTCTGATAAAAAAAAGCTTAGTTGGGCGGGGTGGGGCGCAGAGTGCCGGGAGCTATGGGCGATAAGAGAATGTGGTGGTGTAGGGCATTGTGATCTGTGATTTACTCTTTTTCAACATTGATTGTTCTGCTAATATTTATTATTTTTGTTGTCTTGGTTTTCTGCTCTTGCAATAAGTCTTTTCTGTACTTTATATATATATTATGAAAGAAAAAAAAAGTGGATTAACGTCTTATTCATTTGCTCATTTATTGTCACCAGTTCATTATTCCCCAACGTATTGTGTCACTTTCACTATGTGTTCTAGTGTAAAGAAGAAGAGACCAATGAGGCTCGAAAGTAATGCTTGTTGGGACAGACGTATTGCGGGGACATAAATTCCTCATACCTTATTTTTGGTCAACTATCATCACCACATTCAACAGCTTGTCGGATTCTTCAAAGTGTTCTAACGTTCTTCTCACAGTTACAGTCTTTGACTGCTTTTTCCCAGTGTCCCAAAACATATTGTTAATTTTTTGGACTCGTTTACTGATATACTACTTATGTCTGATTATAATTAGTGCTCACGGTACTAGACTGATATGTAATCATATGAAGTATGCGATGCCATTTATAACGACCATTTGAAATAGACAATAAGCATTTATTATCACTCAGGTGTATATGGCTGGTGATGGATGACATAACATTCGATTAACGGGGATTTATTTGGCTTTTTGATAATAGTAATAACTCAAATGCTCTTCTTCAAAATATATCACCTAACTACGTTGGGACACAAACTTGAAAGATGCTCTTAAAATTCTTTTTTACTTCGTCTGAATTGTAGCTGTATAAGCTAGTAGTGAGTATCATCCTTTTTCCTTTAGTTTTTATGAATTAAACTCGCCGGACAGCCTAGAGACTAGTCAAACGGTGAGTTGTGTGGTACATGCGCTGATGCTATCATGCATCAAAAAGTTCACATGAGAACTATCTCTAGACTCTCCACATACGCCGACTATAAATGTGTCTAGATTATGAAAATATGGAGTTGAATGCACATGGATGGTGCTTTTTTTTTAAATATAATGATAAGAATAAAGAAAGTAGTAATATGTGTATATGTAGACAATTCAATAAATAAATTAGGTCAAATTTACCACAGTGCCCAGGTTTTATTATTATTATATTCTTTAATTCCTAGAGGAACTTTGGCAGAGAAGCGAACTCAATGGGGACGTGTGGCTAAAGCCCTATGTCCCTCTAGGAACTAAAGAAGGCAATGCTCATCTATATTAGGTAACATATTAATCTGACATTTGCTTATCACTGTTTGTCTGGGTCACACCTTTTTCCGTCTTTAAAGGCGTTCACATAAAATTATGAATATGTCTATCCAAAAGTCTACGAACTTTTTCAAGGTTTGCATGATGAACAATTTTGTTTGTTTGCGCTGACTAATTTTACCTGTATCTGTCTCCCTATTCTGTTAAGTGTGTTATGTTTGTATGGTTAACTGTTAAGCGAAATTTCATGTGCATGGAGACATAGTGCAATCACACTCCTGCCATCTTAGGATATGTCATATTTTACAAACTGAATGAATAAATGTAACCGCCTTTCGCATAAAAAAACATTAATTTCATACAAAACAATAAGAAGACGTAGTTTATCTGAAACGTATAATGTATTGGCGCAACACATTTCGGACATTCTGATCACACACGTACTTGTCATACACAGTTTTTATATAAGGCAAGAAAGCATGAATAATTACAATACAGGTCAGATTGTGTACAGGTCAAGGTCACAAAATAATGGGTAGGGAGACGCAAAAGGTGTGGGTAAGAAAGATAAAGGGAGGAAAAAAAGGCAAAGAAAGGGTTTGAAAATATTATGAAGTAAAATTGGTCCTTGGTTCTAAGTTGGATTACCAAGGCAGGTTTAAGGTGATAACAAATAACTTTTGGACGCATAAGACAGGTTTAAGTCTTTTAATGGCTAAGGCTTCAATGAATTTAAGTATGTGACCCAACCTTGTCTTATATATCGGCTTAAAGGCATTATTAAAATCAACCTTATGACCCGTCTCTATAATATGCTTCGCTATAGATGATGTTGGACATCTATTTCCCGGGTCAATTGTATCTGGCGATTTCATTTGTTGTTGCAGCCACTTTGGAATGTGTTCTGTAGCCCTAACATGCAGAGACCGATGGGTCCTCCCTATGTACGTGTCTCCACACATACATGTAAATTGATAAACACAGTGGGATGTGACACTATCGTTCGGATAATGTGAGGGTTTACAGGACAGCATAGTTTTCGTTTTCTCTATGAAGATAAGTTTAGCTGCATAATAGGTTCTACTAATTGCGGCCTTTAGTCTTTGTCTAGTGACTAGACTTTGTTGATCACCTCTGAACGGCAAGGATATGTAAACATCCTTTTTGGGAACTGATTGGATTGGTAAAGCTGTGTGGTTGACACTTCCATAACGTCTAATAAATCTCAGTGGGTAATTGTTATCTAACAATATTTCAGTGAGATGTTGTCTTTCTTCTTCAATTGTATCGGCGGTACATATACGGTGAACGCGCTTGAACAAACACTTAACCAACGCCTTTTTATACTGTAGTGGACAGAAACTATAGTAATTTAGATACTGTCCAGTCCATGTTGACTTCCTGTAGACAGATCGTTTTATTGACCCATCTTCTCTGCGGGTTATGAGTACATCTAAAAATGGCAGGCATCCATTATTCTCTTTAACATAAGTTAGCGATATACTATTTTGTGCTCTGTTGACCTGGTTTAGGATTTCTATGGCGTCGATCGGTTGATCACAAATGACAATTATGTCATCTACATATCTTTTATAGAAATACACTTTTCCAATTTCTTTCTCCACTAGGTTCTCAACATGCGACATATATATGTCAGCTAACAATGGACCTAGGGGGCTTCCCATAGCAACACCATCGATCTGGCGATAATGCTCGCCCTCGAATGTAAACTTAACATTTTTAGTACAGAGAAGCAGTAACTCTTTTAAGTAAGATGTAGATACTGGTAATAAGAAATCGTTGTCAGAAATGAAGTCACATAAAATGTCAACCGTCTGTAAAAGAGGTACATTTGTAAATAAAGATTCGACATCTAGGGAGAACATGGTTTTACAAATGTACCTCTTTTACAGACGGTTGACATTTTATGTGACTTCATTTCTGACAACGATTTCTTATTACCAGTATCTACATCTTACTTAAAAGAGTTACTGCTTCTCTGTACTAAAAATGTTAAGTTTACATTCGAGGGCGAGCATTATCGCCAGATCGATGGTGTTGCTATGGGAAGCCCCCTAGGTCCATTGTTAGCTGACATATATATGTCGCATGTTGAGAACCTAGTGGAGAAAGAAATTGGAAAAGTGTATTTCTATAAAAGATATGTAGATGACATAATTGTCATTTGTGATCAACCGATCGACGCCATAGAAATCCTAAACCAGGTCAACAGAGCACAAAATAGTATATCGCTAACTTATGTTAAAGAGAATAATGGATGCCTGCCATTTTTAGATGTACTCATAACCCGCAGAGAAGATGGGTCAATAAAACGATCTGTCTACAGGAAGTCAACATGGACTGGACAGTATCTAAATTACTATAGTTTCTGTCCACTACAGTATAAAAAGGCGTTGGTTAAGTGTTTGTTCAAGCGCGTTCACCGTATATGTACCGCCGATACAATTGAAGAAGAAAGACAACATCTCACTGAAATATTGTTAGATAACAATTACCCACTGAGATTTATTAGACGTTATGGAAGTGTCAACCACACAGCTTTACCAATCCAATCAGTTCCCAAAAAGGATGTTTACATATCCTTGCCGTTCAGAGGTGATCAACAAAGTCTAGTCACTAGACAAAGACTAAAGGCCGCAATTAGTAGAACCTATTATGCAGCTAAACTTATCTTCATAGAGAAAACGAAAACTATGCTGTCCTGTAAACCCTCACATTATCCGAACGATAGTGTCACATCCCACTGTGTTTATCAATTTACATGTATGTGTGGAGACACGTACATAGGGAGGACCCATCGGTCTCTGCATGTTAGGGCTACAGAACACATTCCAAAGTGGCTGCAACAACAAATGAAATCGCCAGATACAATTGACCCGGGAAATAGATGTCCAACATCATCTATAGCGAAGCATATTATAGAGACGGGTCATAAGGTTGATTTTAATAATGCCTTTAAGCCGATATATAAGACAAGG